GTAGAATATTCTTTTAAAATTCTAGTTTAATTCCCACTTGAAAGCCGGTATCATCAACTCATGGTGGAGGTTGGGAAGGAAAGAAAAATAAAAAAAGAAAATATCTAATACTTTGTTCATCTTCTTTGGGCCTGTTTAGTTGAAAACCCTAACCATCACATATAATATAGTTTATTTGGGAAAATGTATTTTGACTTCCAAGCAGTTAATTTGTAAGAGGACTATTGAAACAAAGTCTATTTGTGTGAATTGATCGCCTTTTCTAAAATGTAACAGGTGTTATTTTTTTCATGTGTTTTCCATGAATTCTTAAACATATTTCATTATTGGATGTGGATAATATTTTAATTAACTGGTGATCATTTAGGTCATTTCTACCTCTAAAATTTCGATGATTCAGTTAGAGCAGAGATTTTTGTCAAATGATTTAGTTGAATTAAGGTTTTTAAAGTTTTAATGTTCAAAGATATGGCACTTTAATCAATATTTGCCTGTACAGACAAGTTAGTCAACATATTTTGGGAGGAAATTAAAAAAAAATATCTTGCTTCTTTCTTATAAAATTCAGTACACATGGGTTTAAGGAATAATGTATTATAAAATAAAATTTTTCTTTAACAATGCAATTACTTGATATTTATCTTTCAAGACCATAGGCTTCTGTTTCATTTCTGAAAGTCAAGGACTTTAGAAGAATGGAAAGTGCTGATAAAACTAGGTTACTTCACAGGAAGTCTTAAGCATAGAATTTGACAAACTATTAGTAAATTTTTTTTTTGAGTCGGAGTTTCGCTCTTGTTGCTCAGGCTAGAGTGCAATGGCATGATCCTCGCTGCAACCTCTGTTTCCAGGGTTTAAGTAATTCTCCTGCCTCAGCCTCCCGAGTAGCTGGGATTACAGGCATGCACCACCACATCTGGCTAATTTTTTATATTTTTAGTGGAGGTGGTGTTTCACCATGTTGGTCAGGCTGTTCTTGAACTCCTGACCTCAGGTGATCTGCCCACCTTGGCCCCGCAAAGTGCTGAGATTTCAGGTGTGAACCACTGCACCCAGCTAATAATTTTTTTAAGTCAGTATGTTTTAATAACATTTGAAATTCTAAATGGAATATAGTTGTTCTGTTAAAAGTAAAGCAAACAATTGACTAAAAATTTCACAAAAATATTCTTGAGAAAATAAAATCTAAAAATAAGTCATTCATAGAGAAAGGATGGGTACCATTCTGGTTTTTAAAACCAACATAAAATTTGGAAATGGCTAAAGACTGAAAATTTGGGCTTCTTTGGCAGATTTTTCTGTTTTCTGTGGAATATAAAATTTTATTTGAAAAAATTCCTAGTAATCTTAGAGGCAAAAGATTGCCCATATACTGCTGTTTTTTTTTTTTTTTGAGATGGAGTTTCTCTCTTGTTACCCAGGCTGGAGTGCAATGGCGCAATCTCGGCTCACTGCAACTTTGCTCTGTTGCCAGATAAAATGAACTAGTAATTATCGACAACAACTTCTTCCTCTTCTTCTTCTTCTTCCTCTTCCTCTTTCTTCTTCTTTCATCTCCTTTCTTCTTTTGAAACAGGGTCTCACTCTGTTGCCCAGGCTGGAGTTCACTGGCATGATCACAGCTCACTGCAGCCTTTACCTCCCAGGCTTGGATAATCTTCCCACCTCAGCCTCCTGAGTAGCTGGAACTACAAGCATGTGTCACCATGCCTGGCTAACTTTTTGTTTTTTAATACATATACATGTATATATATATATGCATATATATATATTTTTTTATAGGAATGATGTTTTGCCATGTTGCCCAGGCTGGTCTCAAACTCCTGAAGTGACCCACCTGCCTTGGCCTCCCAAAGTGATGGGATTACAGGTGTGAGCCACTGCACCTAGCCTACTTCACCTGTTCTTTATTTCATTTGTTTATTTATTTTTGGACATAGGTCTTGCTTTGTCACTCAGGCTGGAGTGCAGTGGCTGATCATAGCTGACAAGTAACCTTGAACTCCTGAACTCAAGTGAGTCTCCAGCCTCAGCCTCCTGAGTAGCTAGGACTACAGGCATGCACCACCACATCTGACTTTTTTTTTTTTTTTTAATTTTTATGTTTTGTAGAGAGAGGGATCTAGCCATGTTGTCTAGGCTAGTCTTGTATTCTTGACCTCAAGCTATCCTCCTGCTTTGTCCATCCAAAGCACTGGGATTATAGACATGAGCAACCACACCTGGCCTGTTCTTTTTTTTTTTTTTATGATTAATTTCATATATATCTTGTAAATGTGTAGAAAAATATGTGGCCACACAAACACTAAACTCAACAGTAGTATATTACCTGTGAGAAGTGAGATATAGAACTCAATGAAGTAGAACTTTAAATTATTTTTGTATATAATCCTATATAATATGAGCTTTAAAGAAGAATATCATTTTCATAGTTAAAATTAGAAAGAGAGAATGTTACGTAGGAAAATAAAGTATAAAAAATTTTAATACTGTTTAACTTATTATGACTTAAGGCAGGTTATAAAAAGTAGAGATGATGGACAGATCACCTGAGGTTAGGAGTTTGAGACCAGTCTGGCCATTATGGTAAAACGCTGTCTCTACTAAAAATACAAAAATTAGCCAGGGGTAGTGGTGGGCACCTGTAATTTCAGCTTCTCGGGAGGCTGAGGCTGGAGAATCACTTGAATTTGGGAGGCAGAGATTGCAGTGAGCTGAGATTGTGTCACTATACTTCCAGCCTGAGTGACAGAGTAAGATTCCCTCTAAAAAAAAAAAAAAAAAAAAAAAAAAAAGAGAAAAAAGTAGAGATGTACAACTGATTCTGGAAACTAATAATATATTATATCTAATATACAATATGACTTTTAGAAATATTAATATCCTATATTAACTTGCTGACTATTGACTGAGTCTAATCTCCAAGACCTTGAATTATAATTGTGGCTCTATAATTTTGAATATTTTAGATAGCTGCTTGCTTACAAATATCTTCAGTCAGTATATAGTTATAAAGTGTGCCTGTTTTCAACTTCGGTGGTTGGGCTTAATTTCCCCTAACCACAAAGAATAGTGGAAATGCAAACTCTGAAATTTCCTAAGTCCAAAGTGGTTTATCTGGGGTTTTGTTGATCTTGTTAATGACACAATGATCTTTGGAATTTTTCCCTGCTATTTTTTAATGACACTGTTAAGATAGAAATATAGGCCAGGAGTGGTGGCACACACCTATAATCCCAGAACTTTGGGAGGTAGAGGCAGGAGGATTGCTTGAGCCCAGGAGTTTGAGACCTGCCTGAGCAACATAGGGAGTCCCTCTCTCTGCAGAAAAATTAAAAAATTAGCAGAGCATGATGGTGGGTGCCTGTGATCCCAGCTACTGAGGAGGCTGATGTGGGAAGATCACCTGAGCCTGGGAGGTCAAGGCTGCAGAGAGCTATGATAGCATCACTGCATTCTTTTAAAAAAAAAAAAAAAATATATATATATATATATATATATATATGTATATATGTATGTATGTATGTGTGTGTATATGCATAAAGGCCAGTGTTTGTATTTTACTAATAATCTTGAACATTTTTATTTTTCTTATTACTCTTCTCATTTAGCTTATTCCATAAGTTAAATACACACTTGGAAGAAATAAACTCTTCCCTATTTATTAGAATTTCTCTTTTCCCTTTGTCTTGTATTCATTTTTTTTGTTCTGTGAGGTTTATTTATTGAGAACTTACTGTTAGGCACTGGGGATAGAGAACAAGATAGGCAACATTCTGTCCTTATGGAATATACTGTACTTCCATGTCTGGGAGACAAAACACAAAAATAAATAAATAAGATAATGTCAGATAATGTTAACAAAAGGAATGATTAGGACTCTGTGGCCCTAACACATATGGAGTTGAACAAGATTACACCCGGAGGACTATAAATATTTGAATATTTAAAAGTTATAAATCAAGCTACATCCTTGGCCCAGCCTGATTTCCTACACAGCATCTTCAGTTGCCAGCAGACTATACCCTCAAGACTCGGAGGCTAAAGGAACTGCTCTCTTCTCCCATCCATCCTCGTAACTTGCCTGAGTGGTAGTATGGATCTGTTGGGGCAGGGCAGGGATGATTGGGGTGGTACCCAGATCCATCAAAAACAGTGTATTAACAGATCCTGCCAAGTCCCCAGGAATTTGGTTACAGAGAGTTTCACTTCTCCAGTTGTTTTTTCACCTCAAAGTCTAGGAAGTTGTAAGCCCTTCTTAATGTTGCACTATCAGAAAAGGGGATGCAGTTATCTGGGAAACCTGGTTTGCCTGGGCATTCAGTTTAATTGATTTGGGGTAATGAACTTTAACTGAATAAAGCTTTTATAAGCAGCCACTCTTTCTAAGAGTTCTCATGACAGAAGTTGTGTTCATTTTCTCCTTCACACATACTGGAGCACTCAAAGTTCTTTATCCTCTGGACAGTGGGGCCTCATTCAGCTAGCACCTCTTTCTTGTAATGGTCATTTGCTCAGTTGATCACTGAACTTTCAAAAAACCTTCTTACAAGGAAAGGAAGAAAAAAAGTCTGTTTTAGTGCTTGGGGTATACAGGACTCTCTAAAGTGCAGGCCTCTGGCAGAGGCTTCTTTTGCCCAGGTCTAAGGATATTGATATTGGACTGGGGATGGCAGTGACCATACACTAGCCTTTTACATGCTGTTTAACTTCTCCCTATCCTGCTATTTTTCCTAGTCTGTCACTCAATTTATTTTAATTTATAAATTTGTTTGATTTATAAAACAAAATTGATATCACTTGGGACACCTGTATCTGAAAAGTAAGCTCCAAATGAAAATGATCATTTTCCAAGAAGTTGTTTGGTGAGATTTTAAAAAACAATGACTAGTTTTCATGTCTCACTCTTCTGAGTGTTTGCCCCATAGGGGCAAACTATTCAGATGTGTTGTACATTTGAACATTGGCTTTAATGTTATGTTTTATTTCTCGACTTACAGCTGTGAAAGTTGTGTGGATTTACTGTTTGTGAGAGGAGCTGGAAACTGTCCTGAGTGTGGTACTCCACTTAGAAAGAGCAACTTCAGGGTACAACTCTTTGAAGATCCCACTGTTGACAAAGAGGTTGAGATCAGGAAAAAAGTGCTAAAGATGTAAGTATTCCTGCTTGAACAATTCAGTCAACAAGAGGACTTTAACAGTTATGTCAATAATTGATTATTATTTGCTGATTAATATGGAGAGATTAGCAAGTAAATAACTATAAATTCATTTAAGTTCTTAGAGAACTGAGTAATATTATTTATTTATCTTTGTTAAAGAAGAGTCTCTTGATGGCTTCATTATTCATTTGTATTTGTTCTTTGATTAATAAACATGTATTGAATATCTGCTGTGTATAAATACTGTGTTATGCATTTTAGGCAGTAGTTATGAAGTGATGAGTAAAACAGCTATAAACTCTGTTCTCATGAGACTTACAGAACAGTTGCATAGAATAGCAAGAAGTTAAAAACCAGGTAAACCAAAGCAAATATGTTATTTATTATAGCTTGAGAATAGTGCTGTATAGTTAGTAACTGAGTGTTGCTGTGGTTGGTGATGTCAGGTATGGGCTGAAGAGGTAACATTAAGTTGAGGTCTGAAGGCTACTAAGAGAAAATTATGTGTTAGCTATATTTTGGTATGTATGTTTTTGTGTACATACATGTATATACATATATGGGCATAGTATATATATGTGTGTATATATGTATATATATCTATATTAATCTTTTTTATTTACAATTTAGGTTTTACTTTTTACTCTGTTAATAGTTTTGGGTTTTATTTTATCCATTCTCTTATTATAAGAAACTTATTTTTTTGAAATTAAAATAATTGATATATTTATTAATTTATTTTTATTTTCAGTGGTAATACATTTCAACCCAAGTAACCAGTGTTTTAGCAGCATCTTTCTAGGTACATAACCAATGATACTTTATCAATGCCCCTAGCAGCTCTTTCATTTTTTATAACTTCTGGGAGGTAGTCTCTTAGATTCTGATCTTTTCATTGTTAATTCCTTGCAATTTACTAATTCTTCACAGGTACATTACAATATTTACAGATTTTCTTGATCTCACATTTTTTAGACCATGTAATGAAAAATGGAGGATTGCTTCAATTTTTTGTGTTTTGGAAATTAGTGAATCTATTTCTTAGAAGTAAATAACAAGTAAAAACTTTTGCAAGAAGTAAAAAGACAAGAATTATTACCAAGGGTGGGTTTGGAAATGACACAAAGGTTATGTACTGTGAACATTAGAATGAGACTATGAAGATCAAACAACAATCATTTTCCTTCAAACTTGATAGATAACTGTACTCAATATTTACTCTTAAAAATAAGATTATAATAAAATGGATCATTCTTTAGAAGGTTTATATATGGTAAACTTAGAAAATAAACCATAATTTCCAATGATATGCCTTGCTTAAGCTCATTTTGTAATCTTTCAAGCTCCTAATTTCTTTTTCCCTGAAGTTTTAATAAGGATTTTGCATATTGCACCATTTTTTCCTGATCCTACTTCTCTGCAGTCATAAGAATTTAAGAATTGCATTTTTGGTCTTGTTACAAACCTGGTATCAAGAAAACGGTGTTTTATGCTGGGTGCAGTGGCTCATGCCTGTAATCCTAGCACTTTGGGAGGTCGAGGTGGGCGGATCACTTGAGGTCAGGAGTTCAAGACCAGCATGGCCAACATGGTAAAATCCCATCTCTACTAAAATAAAAAAAAAATTTAACTGGATGTGGTGGTGTGCCCTTGTAATCCCAGCTACTTAGGAAGCTGAGGCAGGAGAACCTGGGAGGTGTAGGTAGCAGTGAGCCAAGATTGCACCCCTGCACTTCGGTCTGTACAACAGAGCAAGACTCCATCTCAAAAATAAAAATAAAAAGAATGAAAATGGTGTTTTACACAGTAAGCAATTCTTTTCCATGTATCATATATGAATTAGGTAAGAACAAGCAAACCAGTTAGATAATATTAAAAGCAATGATACGTAATATGTAGACTTATTTTTTCTTTTCTTAAAGATACAATAAAAGAGAAGAAGATTTTCCTAGTCTAAGAGAATACAATGACTTCCTGGAAGAAGTGGAAGAAATTGGTATGTTTTTAATTTGATGTATGCTAGCCTATAAGACCATATGCTTTTACCTTTTAAATGCTTAGGAGAACATCTCACATAAAAACCTCTAAATAGGTTTTGTTGTGATAGCTAACATTTACTTAATTACTTTCTTTTGTAAAGAACCTATTTAAGTAATACTTTTTCTTAGGAAAAATATGTTTAATAGAGGTAGTAACACTTTGTAGCTGGGGAAGAAGACTATATGGGTACATACATCCGTATGTTGATAATGTATTAGGGTAGTTTAAATGAAAGGAAAGCATATTCTGATTTTTTTCAAAAATGGGGTTCCTGTTAACCATGTTTATAGTGACTAGAGCCATATGTTTATCATTGTTTGTGCTTCTGTGGCTGTAGTAGTCTTAAAGTACTTTGAGGCAGTTTACTGTTGAAGTGGCATTCTGTTAATCAGTATTATTCTGTAATCAGAGGTTGGAGTAATCTTTGTGCCTTTTCTATCTGATGTGTTTAGTCAAAAGGATGATTTTTGTCAAGAAAAAACTAAGTTCTCTTAAATGAAATTTCAGAGATGTTAAAAAGTTTGGAAGTTGTTATATATTGATTTAAAAAATAATGCTGCTTTTTAAAGTTGCAATAATTATTATTAAGTGCGGGTTTGGAAATGGTACAAAGTTGTATACTGAGAACATTAGAATGAGACTATGAGGATCAAACAACAATCATTTTCTTTCAAACTTGATAGGTAATTGTACTCAATATTTATTATTAAAAATAAGATTATAATAAATGGATCATTGTTTAGAAGGTTTATATATGGTAAACTTAGAAAATTCACATTCCTGAGGAATAATATTTTAATTCCTTTAATTTCTTTACTATAAAATCCAGAAAATCGTTTTGTTTCAACTGTTATCTGAAACTTTTATATGTCTAAGTTCATTTGTTATGCCATAGCAAAAGCACATGCAAAACATAATTTAGGGTTTCTTTGGGATCTTTCAGTGCCCTAAGAGCCACTGCTTTTCCATTCTACGTCTATTCATTGCACTTTGTATGTTATCTTAGCAATTGTGAGTGACCATGGATTTTAGCTGAAAAGATGGTAGAATTGGGAGTGACAAGGCAAAGTGGAAAAGTTAGGATGTAGACTGAGAAGAACAACCAGAAAGAAATCTGCAAGAACTCGGCAAGTATGAAGGAATGTAGAAATCTGCCTATACATAGATATTAAGTAAAGGACAAGCAGTTGGATAGCAATTGGGAAGAAAAGAAGCTTACATATATTCTAAAGGTGATATGATCAATCAAAAATCTGGTCAAGCAATAAAGGGAAAGGAGATTTTAGGTATTGCAATGCAAGTTGAATACATGGTCACAATTCCAAGCAGGCAATCAGGATAACTAAAGGAAACTGATGTATAGAGAAGGTGAGGAATAGGTTTAAGCGATGAACTACAAGGAGATCTTCATTCTGGGATTAAGGTTTTGATTGAGCTATGATTAAAAAATACACACACACACACACACACACACACACATACACACACACACACAAACACACACACATTTGCTCCAAGATAAGTCAGTTTGAAGGTATGGACTACATGGGTCCCATAGGTAAACCAGGTTTATGTTCAGACATTGGTACTAGAATTGATAGGCAAGAGCAAGTGTGGATATTAGCGGTATACAACAAGTAATGCTTTCTTTACCAAATACAGAAACTGTGGCTCAGACCATTTAATTTGAAAGTTATTCTGCTGTTATGTATATTTAGTTGCAGTATGTGGAAACTCTCTTAACCAGCCTCCACTTAATTGTCTCATTGAAGTAACTGACATTCCCCGGTTTTTCCATAAAATGTACTCACAGATACCCAGAGCATAATGAATACATTGTGAATGCTGTCAATTAGAAGTTGCCCTTGAGTACACCTCTGTACTTCTTCCACCAGTTCAATTATACACCAAGAGTTATTAGCCTTGATAACCAAACATTCTTATGTCAATTGTACTTGCTATTGTAGTTATGTAATTAAATACATATTTAAATATTATATGTAATTTAAATACTTAAAGGTAAATCATGGGAGGAACGATCCAAGATGGCCGATCGCTAACATCCCGAGATTGCAGCTCTCAGGGAAGGCGCTGAGAACTAGAGGACGCCACACTTGCAGACAAAGTCTGGTTGCTCACGGAGCAGAAGATCCCCCAGTGGAGGAAACACACGGGTCGCCAGCGTGACCCTCGTGGCCGGCGCAGCGGTGCCCGCACCTAGGCGCGGCAGCTCTCGGAGCAGAGTAAACACATTTGGAGGACCTGCATGGGCCCCCAGCACAATACCAGAGCCCCGCGCAGCGGCAGTGATGGCACCTCCGCGCGGCAGCGCTCGGCGCAGAGTAAACGGGACGGGTTCCCCTTCTGACAGAGGTTTGGAGTCCTGGGAAGGCAGAGTCGCCTACTACGGACACAAGAAGGAAGCCAGACAGGAGAATCCTGGGCAGAAAAGCACCATCAGTTTTAACGCTGCTCTGGCCCTGGGAACTAACAACCTGGACGCCCACTCAAGAGACCTAATCTGAAAGTCGGTAAATTCAAAGACCACAGGAGGATAAACTTACAATGACGGGAAGAAACCAGCGTAAAAAAGCTGAGAATACTCAAAGTCAGAACGCCTCTCCCTCTAAAGATGATCACAGTTCCACATCAACAATGGAACAAGGCTTGATGGAGAACGAGCGCATCCTGATGACAGAATCACTCTTCAAGGAATGGATAATAACAAACTTCGGTGAGTTAAAAGAACATGTTGTAGCCCAACGTAAAGAAACTAGGAACTTTGAAAAAAGGTTTGATGAAATCCTACTGAGAATAGACAACTTAGAGAGGAGTATGAGTGAATTAATGGAACTGAAGAATACAATACAGGAACTCCAAGAAGTATGCACAGGTTTAAACACTCGAATTGTTCAAGCAGAAGAAGGGATATCAGAGGTCAAAGTCCAACTTAATGAAATAAAACGTGAAGAAAAGATTAGAGAAAAAAGGATAAAAAGGAATGAGCAAAGTCTCCAAGAAATGTGGGACTATGTGAAAAGACCAAATTTACGTTTGATAGGTGTACCTGAATGTGACGGAGAGAATGAATCCAAGCTGGAAAATACCCTTCAGGATATTATTCAGGAAAATTTTCCTAAACTAGCAAAGCAGGTCAACATTCAACCCCAGGTAATACAGAGAACACCACAAAGATATTCCTCAAGAAGAGCAACCCCAAGGCACATAATCGTTAGATTCACCAGGGTTGAAACGAAGGAGAAAATACTAAGGGCAGCCAGAGAGAAAGGTCATGTTACCCACAAAGGCAAGCCTATCAGACTTACAGCAGATCTCTCGGCAGAAACTCTACAAGCCAGAAGAGAGTGGGGGCCAATATTCAACATCCTCAAAGAACAGAACCTTCAGCCCAGAATTTCATATCCAGCCAAACTAAGCTTCACAACTGAAGGAAAATAATAAAATCTTTTATGAACAAGCAAGAACTCAGAGATTTTATTACCACCAGGCCTGCTTTACAAGAGCTTCTGAAAGAAGCATTACACACAGAAAGAAACAACCAGTATTAGCCTTTCTAAAAATACACCATAAAGTAAAGAGCACCAACATAAAGAAGAATTTATACCAACGAATGGATAAAACAGCCGGTCAACATCAAATGGCAGTAACCCTAAATATAAATTGACTAAATCCCCCAACCAAAAGACACAGCCAAAACCCAGTGGCATGTTACATCCAGACCTGTTTCACATGCAAGGATACACAAAGACTCAAAGGGATGGAGAAAGATTTACCAACCAAATGGAGAGCAAAAATAAATAATAAATAAATAAAAAGCAGGAGTTGCAATTCTCGTATCTGATAAAATAGATTTTAAAGCAACAAAGATACAGTGGTAAAAGGATCAATGCAACAACAAGAGCTAACGATCCTAACACCCAGATACGAGACTTAGATTCAATGAGACAGAAAATTAATAAGGATATCAAGGACTCGAACTCAGATCCGGAACAAGTAAACTTAATAAATATTTATAGAGCTCTCCACTTCAAATACACAAAATATACATTCTTGTCAATACCACATCACACCTACCCATAAGTTTAAATGAAACATTGATTGGCCATTATTAATACCCAATTTTTTTCAAAATAAAGCAATATTTCCATTTACTCTCCCTCTTTTTCTTCCTCTTTCTTCCTCTCCTTTACTTATTTTTTTTTTTTCTTTCCTTCTCTCAAAAAAAACGAAATCAACTTGTAAACCTCTAGATCCAGGTCGGCAATGTCTCTCTCATTGCTTGATTTCCTTCCTTCCCTTCCCTCCCTCCCTCCCTCCCTCCCTCCCTCCCTCCCTCCCTGCTTCCTCCCTTCCTTCCTTCCTTCATCCCTTCCTTCCTCCCTACCGTCCTTCTTCCCTCCCTTCCTGCCTTCCTAAAAAAAAAAAAAAAGGTAAATCATGTGTAAGGTTGGGGAAAAAATTACAGAACTCTAGAAGGATTCGCTTCTCAGATTTTTAAGTCACCTCTTTAAAAAATGGGAATTGGCCAGGTGCAGTGGCTCAGGCTTGTAATCACAGCACTTTGGGAGGCTGAGGCAAGAGGACTGCTTGAGCCCAGGACTTTGAGATCAGCCTGGGTAACATAATGAGACCCATCTCTAACAAAATTTAACAAGTTAACTAGATATAGTGGCATGTGCCTGTAGTCCCAGCTACTTGGGAGGCTGAGGTGGATCGCTTAAGTCCGGGAGTCCAAGGCTACAGTGAATGGTGATTGTGCCACTGCACTCCAGCCTAGGCAACAGATCACGACCATGTGTCAGAAAAAACAAAAACAGAAAACAAAAAAGAAAATTGAACAATATAGATTACAATTATGGCCTATAAAAGGAAGAAGCAAAACTGAAGACTAGAATTTGCTGTATGTCATTAAGTTAGAGAATGACTATATGCTTA